ACAGGACAGGGCTTGCCTGTTAGAACGCCTAGTCTGCAAGCTCCTTGCACTTGGGCTCCAGACCTGTGCAGAAAGCGGTGAGCTCCACCAAGCTGAGCCCAGCCCGTGGCCACGTAAGCGAGGGGGCGGACTCGCAGCGGATGGCTGAGGCACGCCTCGGAGGACCTGTCGGGACAGGAAGGCCTGGAAGGCTTCCCCGGTGCCTTCGGAGCGGGGCAGCGCGGATACACCTGGGAGGTTTTTCCCGAGCCTCACGCCTCATTCTCACACAGGCAGAGGGCTGCACCGGCTCACACGACGTAGGGCTCTGCATCATGGAATGCCCCTCTCTGCGTGGGGACAGTGCTGCACAAACTCCTCCCATGGAGAAAGCCAGCATGTCAGGAAGTGCCCCCCCCCCCCACGGCCCTCTCGTTGACTTCCTAGTTGCACGCAGCAGTTTTGAGCCCCTGCCTGCAGTCTGAAGGCTTTCCCCAGCTCTGCCATTGCTCTTAGCAGAAGAGGCAGCTTGGCCCTCTCCTGTGCCTTCTGGACTAGGGTCCAGCCAGCTGGAATTGTGGGAATCGTGGTCCCAGGCATCTTGAGGCCCCAGAGCGCTGCCTTGGCCCAACCGCTGCCATGGCGGCAGCGCTGCACTCCTTGTTTTCTGCAAATGCCGTCATGTCCAGGCGCCCAGCCCTGCAGGGCGTCCTCCAGCGCGGAAAGAGCAGGCAGGAGGATGGCGATGCTCCCTGACCCCCGTCGCCCCTTGACTTGCCGAGGCTGCTGCTCCCAGGCAAGCCGGCTTTCCCCAGCTTATTTTTGCGGGTTTCCAACACTTCTGCTGGACAAGGGTTTTGCAGCCCTCCTCCGACTTCACAGTAAGATTGGCACATCTTCCTGTCTCCCCTGTGCCCGTTCCCTTAGTTGCTCTAAACCTGGAGATCTGTAGAGAGGGGCGGCCCGTGAGGGACGAAAATAGCAGAAGGCTTGGCTAAGTAAGGCATTGGCCCCGTTAAACAGGGATACATTTCCTGGAGCTGGAAGAAGCAGCCCACCTGCGAAAAGGCCCCCAGGAACCACTGTTTGTGGAAGCCTGCTTATTTTCCACCCCCAGAGGGCTGCAGGTGTGGGGCAGGAGTGGCAGCCTCGGGCTCCTTGCTGCAAGCTCCTGTGGGGAGAGCACCCTTGAAGCGTCCCATTGGGCAAGAAGGGACTCGAAACGGCTTCCTGTCGGGATTGGCCAGCAGGTCTCCCCGGCCCTGGAGTCCTCCCAGGCTCGGTCACTCCCGCCCACCCCTGGCAGCTGCCGGTGGTTTAACTCAGATGTGTTGGACCACAGCTTCCATGACTCGCAGCTGGCCTGCATGGGCTGGCCACCCGCCTCGAGCGATGCTGCCGCTTTGCTGGCCCGGTGAAGAAGCGGCAAAAACTGCTGCCGGCGTTCAACCCGACGGGGACTCGCCATTTGTCCGGCTTTCCTGCCTGGTCTCCTGATACCATTCGGGAAGGCCCAAAGGCTTCCAGGTGGCTGCCCTAAGCCAGGAGCAGCTCCCTCTTCTAGTGACAGGCCCCTGCTCTGCCCACGAAGGTCCCGTTCAGTCCTTGTTGTCTCCAGTGCCAGGGGATGATGGGCATGGAGGGCCACTGTGAATGGACGGGCCCAGTCTGGCTCTCTGGGCCCAGTCCCGCCTGCCTCTCCTACGAACTCCGTGTCCACCGCTTCCACTGGGCCGCTTGCCCTGGGCTGTGCCACAAACCCGTCACACGTGTTGCTTCACAAGCGCTTGAACAGCCCTCCCTTTTCTGGGGGCTACGCTGGGTCGCTTCTTCCCAAAACATTGGCGATTTCTGAGTTAGGGTCCAGATAGATCTCTGCTGACATTCCCAAGCCTTCGGAAAGGTCTCTTGTGGATGGTGACCAGGTCTCCCCATCTTCCCCCACCCCCTTCCTCCCTGCTGCTTTTCCAGCTCAAAGGCTTGGCCGCCTCCACCGTGTCCCGCAGAGGTGCTGCCTGCACACGGTCTAACGCAGAGCGAGACGCGCCGTCCTGCGCTCTCCCAGCAAGCCTCACGGCCAGGCTTGCCCTGCCCCAGGTGCAACACGGAAAGGCGGGGAGGCTGCTCTCTGGGCGCCACATAAATTCTGGGCCACGCATTTGAATTGCACTGCCCTCACCCCCGAGGCAGTGTTTCTGTCTCCTGCCAGTTGAGTTAGCGTTGGAAATTGGGTTTCCAACGCAAGGCCACCTTGGCTGAGCACTCATCCATATTTCAGCTCCGTCTCTGGAAATAGCTGCTGCAAACCGCTGTGCCGCCAGTCCACTTCCCACGGTGTTCCTGGCGAAGTTTCCCAAGGCAGCCATCCCTCCTCTTGGTTCTGCTCTCCAGCGGCGCCTGCCCAGTTCCGTTTGTGATGCCGTTCGAATAGAATTCATTGAATGAGGCCAAGCCTCTCAGCAAGAATAAGCAAGGAAAAACGCTGCCTGTATTTCCGTTGCAAGCTTAGGAGAGCAGAGTTGGAAGGGGCCAGAGGGCCGTTGGGGCCAGCCCCCGGGTCAGTGTGGGGCTCCCGGTTAAGCCACCCCTCTCGGAGGGCTGCTGCCTGCATCCTGAGCACCCCCCCCCGAGGGAGAGCCCACCCCTTCCCCAGGTCACGGCTTCCATTGTTGCTCTGCTCTCACAGTCAGGACGTCTTCGACTCCTCGGTGCGATCGTTGCCTGCTGGGTCGTTTCAGGTCTGCTGAGCGCCTCCTTGCACCCTTGGAAAGATGGGGAAAATCTGTCCAAGGGCTTCCAGGAGTGTGCCGGACCCTTTCCGGCGGCTCGCACGTGCCGTCTTGGCCTTTCCAGTAGGCCGGGTGCGGCGCTGCCTGTGGCTCGTGGATCTTAAAGTCCCGTCCCATTAAAGGCAGCGGAGATGCCGGTGCACATGATTTACCCGGCTGTTGGGAGAGTGGCTCCTGCCTGGAGAGCTTGCTGGTCTTGCAGCCAGGGGGGGGGGCCAGCTGCCTCGGCCTCGGTGCCGCCTAGTGCGCGTGGAAGAAGGAAGGTGAGGACGAGGAGCCGGGGTCTGGCTCACCGGTGCACCCCTCACCCGCAAGGGCTGCCTGTGCGCTGCCTGCGCCCTGGAGCAGGGCAGGGCCAGCATGTTTGCTTGTGATGGACTGCGTTTTATCTCTGCTTTTCAGCCGAGGAAAAAAAAGGCTTCCGGGATTGCTTAAAAAGGTGATTGATATGACAGGCCTTCCCTCGGGCTTACAGTCGAAAACTTACTGACCCTCTAGAGGAAAATGGTTGTCCACAACTGCCTGGCGGCCTCTTAGCAGCTCGGGCGGGATAGAGACGTTGAACGAATTACGTAAGCAGAGGACTGGCGCTGTCCTGCCGCCGTGTGCAGCAGCAGAACAGATGCAGCCGCCCCTCCCTGGGCCAGGGTGGTCTGGCCATGGCTCCTGTACTCTGACTGGCAGCCCTGCCCTCGGAGGCCTTCCCAGCCTTCTTGCTGCAGGGGCCCTTTTGATTGAACGCACTGGGGGCTGAACCCGGGGTGCAGCACCCCTCCCATTCCAGCTTTAATAGTGCAAGGCTGCTGGGCTGGGCCTGTTCTTCGCCGGCTTGCAGCGAGTGCCCGTCGCCTCGTGTTCCGGGTTCCTCTGAGCCGTTGCCGAGCCAGCTCCCGAGACGGCCTGCTCGGGGCCCGAAAGCCCGCAGAGAGGGCAGGTGTGAGCTGGCTTGGCTTCCACCCGAGAGCTGCTTTCTCCCTCACTGGCTTGGCGTTCACCTGAGTGGCAGATCAGGACCACCGGTGGCTGCAAGGTGGTGTTGCTTTTTGTTAGAAAACAAACAGAACGAGTGTTGCACTTGGGACTCCTCATCTCTCAGTGGAAGAGCCGCTGCTGTGCGTGGAGAAGGTCGCGGGTCCAGGCCCTGGCAGCCCCAGGTGGCGCTGGGAGACCCCTGCCTGCAGCCCCGTGGGCCCTTGCTGCCCGTCCGTGTGGACAAGGGTTTGGGGACGGGGCAGCATCCGTGCTCTGATGGCTCTCTGGCCTTCCTCCCACCCCTGCCATAGCAGGAGCGGCCCTGGGGAGCCGTTCCTGGGCGTGGGTGCTTGCCTGCATGTGTGCGCTCGCACAAGCGCACGCTGAACAGGGAGGAAGCACCCAGTCCGTGCCCAGCGTGGCGCTGCCTCTGCAAACAGACGTAACTCGCCGCCTCCCCGCCGGAGCTCCTTCCAGCTCACCTGCCTCTGTGACTGAGTACTTAACCTGGCGAGCTGCTTGGCTGAGCAGCAGCAGGCGCTCCAGGTGAGCTGCAACCTGCGGTGCATCTCTGGGGGCAGGCACAGGATGGGAATTGGGAGATGAAGGGTTCTATCTCACCCGTGCCTGCTGCAACTTAAAGAGCCGTATTGCTGCCTAAAATCCCATTTCTAACACAGTGGTAAATTCTGGTGTCACCAAGTAACAGCCTGGGTGGATTCATGCCATCGTTTTTCTGTGGTTGGGGTCCCTGGGGCTGCCTGTGCGGGGAGCAGCCCCCCTGCTCCTTTGCCTTCCCTAGGCTGCACCCCTCCACTCTCACCCCCGCCAGATGAATGGCTGCCGCCTCGGGCCGTGGGGAACATGAAGTGCTGCACTCGGGGGCAGTGTCCCCCGAGTTCTGGCTGCGGCAGCTTCCTGAGAAGAAGGGCGCACTTGTGTGTTCGCGAAAAGAGGTCTTCGCGCAGGTCCCATCCAAGGCTTAGACACAGTCTGGCTGCATGGTGCTCCCTCCTGACAAGCCCATGCACTCCGGCTTTCTGTACCTTCCTGAGAGCTAGAAACATGCTTTAGAGTGAAATTGGGGGCCACGGTAGGAATTGCTTGTCCACAGTCCTCGCCAGACCAGATTTAGGTTAGCTCGGATTTCTTTTCTATGAGTCAGATCTGTGGAAGGGGCTCCCCGAAGTTCCTGACAAAGGAGCACCCCCCCGCCGTTCTCCACCTGACATCGTTCTGCTTTCTCCCTCACACATTAAGGTTCACGCCTGGGAGATCTCGGATCAGTTGCTGCAGATCCGACAGGACGTGGAATCCTGCTACTTCGCAGCCCAAACTATGAAGATGAAAATCCAGACCTCATTCTATGAGCTCCCCACGGACTCTCATGTCTCGCTGCGGGACTCACTGCTCTCCCACATCCAGAACTTGAAAGACATGTCCCCCGTCATCGTCACCCAAGTGAGCAGCCAGGCCTGGGGGGCGGGGGAAAGCGAGCCGTGGGGCGGGGGCGTGAACGGTGCCGCGGCCCAGGAGTCGCCTGCCTGCTCGTTGGGCAGAACCAGTGGCCTGGCCGGCCCGGCCTCATCCGGCGGGGCTGAGGGCCAGGGTGCTGGGCCGGCTGCGCTGGGAGGCCGAACCCTTCCAGCGGAGCACTAACCGCCACTGTGCTTGTCCCCCCGCAGCTCGCGTTAGCCATAGCAGACCTCGCCCTGCAGATGGCCTCCTGGAAGGGCTGCGTGCACACACTGGTTGAAAAGTGAGTCCTGGGCGGATCTGCCCCCTTTGCTCCCGGAGCGCCTTAACCGGGGGTCCTTGGCAGTGACAACCAGCACTTCGCGTCGTGCTCAGTCCCAGCGAGTGGCCTGAGCAGCAGGTGCTGTCGGCGCTTGGCGCGGATTCCCCGGGAACGTGGGTCTGGAGCAAGAGCCCCCGTCACACAAAGTCCCTTCCTGCGCTGCAGGGGGCGAACGCAGGCTGCCCAGGCGGGCGGCCGTCACGGTGGCAGAGGCAGCCAGGCGCACCTGGAGCGTGCCAGGCTGGGGAGGGTCGCTCAGCCCTGGTTCCCCTTGGAGGCCCCCTTGAGAAAGCAAGCATGATGAGCCCCGAGGAGGAGGGGCAGAGGACTGCAGGAGAGCGCTGCTTGCTGGCACGGACTCAGCCTGGTCCTTCAAAGTGGATTCCTCACACGCCTGGCCCGCTGGTGTTTCCTCTCGAGGGGCTGACCAGGTCCCCCCAGCCTCTTGCTCCGGGGGACGCCCCGCTGGCACCCTGAGCAAGACCCCCTGCCGTCCCCCAAGGCCATGGCTGGCCCTTCAGAGGCCTGATCCTCTCCGGCGCACATTCCGTGCTCCACAGGGAACGCTGCAGGCGCTGAGGGCCACGTGGTTGGGAGCCTCCCGCTTGGCACACTCGTCCGGGTGCCCGCAATAGTTTTTCTCCCACCTCCACCTCCCTCCCCGTCCCGGGGCTTCAGGTACAATAACGACGTGACGTCGCTCCCCTTCTTGCTGGAGATCCTGACGGTGCTGCCGGAGGAAGTGCACAGCCGGTCCTTGCGCATCGGAGCCAACCGCCGCACGGAGATCATCGAAGACCTGGCTTTCTACTCCAGCACGGTGGTCTCGCTGCTGGTGAGTCGCAAGCAAGCCCCTGTGCCCGCGCCCACCAGAAATGCGAGTGGGGAGAGAGAGAGGCTTGAAGACTTGGCATGAGGACGCGCGAGGTGCGGCTCCTTGAAAAATCCCTGGCTTGGATGGGGAGCAGCTTGAGTCCAGGTCCTGCCCGGCCTTAAAATGCGGTGGGTGATCTCAGCCCAGCTGTGCACTCCCAGCCTAACCCGCCTTTCAGGGTTGCTGTGAGCCTAAGAGAAACAGGTGGCGAAGCTGCCTGTTTCTGAGAGAGAGAGGCTTTTCCTGCCTCTGAGTTGCTGGACCTGAGGGTGGAGAGCAGGGTGGAACGGTGCGCCTTGCCCCCCGGCGTTGAGCGAGCCCGCAGAATCCCTCCACCCTGCCTGGATGTTGCTGGAAACAGAATGCCAGTTCACGGGCTCGTTTGGATTCGCTGGCTATGCTGTCTGGGGCACGCTGGGGGCCGCTGTCCAGCGTATTTGGATAGCCCCATCTTGGGGAAGACGGAGTTAACATTTTGGTCTGTTGAAGAAGCAACAAAAGCGTTCTGTCTGGCCGAGCATAATGGCAGCAGTCTTCCCCGGAGATAGATCTGGTCTGAGCAACCGAGCCGAGGAGTGGGCCGTGCGGGACGTGGGGCAAGGCGGACCCTCCGCATGCCCAGGAGGGGGCCCCTTCCTCTCCCCTCCCCTCCCCTGTTGGCGCCCTGCGGTGATCCAGGCTCAGTGTTTGACTGAGCTGGCAGGGCATCTGTTCCGGAGGCCAAGTGCTGAGCTCAGCACGGCACCGCCTCTCTTTCGGCCCGCTTTCGCTGAGGCTTCACTTTCAATTCACCCGTGGCCGCCAGGAATGGTCGGCCGCTGACCGAAACCTCTCCCCCTCCCCTGGCACGATCACGCTGAAAATCCCGGGCACATCACAGCCTGCTGAAACCTCATCTGGCTTGCTTCTCCCCGGCCTCTGGCATTGGGTGTCCCGCCCCAGGTGCCCGCTGCCTCCACTCAGCGCGGCCAGTGCTGGGCACCTGGAGGGCACAGCTGGCTGAGTGACATGCGGTCTCCCTTTGGAGGAACAGGTATCCTGGTGGGTCAGGGAAAGTTGGTCCAGCCCCGGCTTTCCTTGGAGACGAACTCTCAAGAAGGCAAACTAGGTAAAACAGAGAAAAAAGAAATCCAGGCGGTCTCAGGCGAAGGCTTGGGTGTTGGCAAGCGTTGGCATTTTGTTCTGGGAACACTCAGAGAGTAAAACCGAAGCAAATGCCACTTGTTTCTTGCCAGCATCGCTAGCCCTGGAAGCCCCCAAGTCACCCTTTCTCTCAGCGCCAGCCGTGCGCTGGGCCCTCTTCAGAGGGGGGTGGGTAAGGCCCTCTCCCCACGGAGCCACAGTCTCCGATTTGGCATAGCAGGGAAGACAGCAAAGGGAGGGGAGGGGGTGCCACCTCCGAGCGACTGGCTTCCGGATGTCTGACCTCCAGACTCCCGGACTGTGGCTTCCCAGCCAGCAGCTGGGCTCCAGGAATTGTCCATCGAGTTTGTGCCGGCAGGACTCCAGCTGCGTGGGGCAGCATGCTGGTGCCCCACGCGGTTCCCGGTGCAGCTGGGGGCACTCAAGTTCTGAAAGGGGAGCATGAGAAGAGCCCTGGGGCCGTGCTGGGAAGGGGCGTGTGTCAGCGCAGCCCAGCATTCTGGCCGTGCACCTGCCCGGAAGAAAGCCACCGGCAGACTACGGGTTCAGCCGCACCCTCCTGCCCATGCTCCCCAGCGGCCGGTGCACATCGGCATCCTGTCTCTGCTCCTGGAGGTCGCCCCCAGCAGCCTTCTCCTCCATGGGCTTGTCCGGTCCTGGTTCAGAGCCATCCAGACTGGGGGCCCATCCCGCCTCTTGTGGGAAGGCCTTCTGTAGCTCGAGCCTGGCAGAGGCGGCCCCAGATCTCTCACCGCAGGCCGGGTGCCTCACTTCGAAGGGGTTGTGCACGGGCTGCTGTGGCTGATGGGCAGGGAGGGCCCGGGCGCGTGTTGCCCGGTGTGCCTGCTGGTGTGCGAGGAGCCAAGCCCCGCCTTCCCCTCCCGCCCCTGCAGGTGACCTGCGTGGAGAAGGCCGGCAACGATGAGAAGATGCTCATAAAGATCTTTCGCTGCCTGGGCAGCTGGTTCAACCTGGGCGTCCTGGACAGCACCTTCATGGCCAACAGCAAGTTACTGTCACTGCTCTTTGAGGTTCTGGTGCGTTTTCTGGGACCCCCAACGTTCGTTCCCCGAAGGATGGCCTGACTTAAACGGCCAGGCACTAACCGCCGGAGGAGAAGGGGGTGGGGTGGCCTTAAATGCCCCTTTCTTGTTGCAAAGCTCAGCTTTGGGGTAGGTCTGAGTCCGGCGTGGCGCTCGAGCCCGGTCGACTTCTGATCGCAAGTGTGTTGTGGTCTGCACAGCTGCGTGTGCTTTCCTAGCGTGTGGGCGCACACTGTTTCTGAGGACCCCCTGCCCCATAGAATCCAAGCATTCAAAGGCCCCCACGCTCGCAGGTGCCCTCCTGGATGGCAGGAAGGGCTCGTGCCCACCGGCTGGTGCCCAGAGCTTTTGCCCGGCAAGGAGGAGCTTTCCACCCAGACTGCCTGTGGCCAAGGAAGCGCCTGGCTCAGAGGAGGCTCCCCCCCCCACCCCGAGGCTGCAGCTCACCATCCCTGCCAGTCCGAGCCGGAAGGCCTTCTATCGCTCATCCCCAGTCAGGGCACTGGGAAGCACGCTGTGCTCTGAGCAATTCCTGGGTTGGCGTGATCCTGGGGGAGGGGAGGCGAGGCGAGGCCTGTGTCTCTCGCCCCTCGCCCTCCCCCGGCACCGTCGGTTCTTAACTAAGAGATCAGAAAATAACACAATTCCAAAACGCCAGATTGGCTTCAGACTTCGGCTCCCCTGGCTGTTTGAAGGCAGGCAGAAGCACCCAGCGACTGGCAGGAAGCGTCTTCCGCTTTCTAGCTGGAATCTGTTCTGTCGGAAGGTTTCTGGTGCAGGACAAGATCCGTAAGCTGGGGGAAAGAGAGGCGTGCAGGGGTGCAGACTGTGTCTCCTTGCCTGGCCGGACGGGGTGGCGCGTGTGTTTTACGAACTGGATAAATAGGGTTCCCCCTGCCCACCCCAGCTGCCCTTCGTGTGTCTGCCTCTCCCGCCACACCCTTCCGGGCAAATCGAACCTGCCCAAGCGTTTGCCACACGGAGTTTGCCAGTCCCGCAGGTGTCTGGGTGCTGCAGGAGGCGCCTTTTCCGTGTCTCCGGCATACGATCCCACCGTTCATTTTGGAGCATTCCGCGGCCTCCTTTCTTTGGCGTGCCGGGCCTTCTCCCCGTCTTTTCAGGAACCCCTCACACCTCCAAGGCCGGGCCCCTCCTCTTCCACGCCATATTGCTGGGCCATGCTTGGCTTGCTCTGGTTGTTCCTCCCATGCCAGCTGATGCTTCCTCTGCCCCTTCCTTCCTTGCGTGTCTGTCTGTGTTGCGCCCTCTCCCCCGGCCTTCTAACACTTTTCGCCTCTTGCTCCTTTCTGTTTCCCTTCCATCAGCTGGTACACTAAACAGATGGCTGCCTGGTCCTGGTAACAGAAGGGAAGCGTAGATAACGACGCTTAGTTAGTCTTGAGCGTTGGGGGTTGGCCTGGCTCAGGAGACGGGAAGTGGGGCAAGGCCCCTGCCGGAAGGGGCTGAGCGAGGCTCATCTCTCTGGTGGGTTTCAGCAACAAGACAAAACCTCGTCCAACCTGCACGAAGCGGCTTCGGACTGCGTCTGCTCTGCCCTCTACGCCATCGAGAACGTAGAGACCAACCTGCCCCTGGCGCTGCAGCTCTTCCAGGGCGTCCTGACGCTGGAGACGGCCTACCACATGTCTGTGGCCCGCGAGGATCTAGACAAGTGAGTCGCCCGGAACTCCAGGAGGGAGTAACCGTTTCTGGGAAGGCGGGAGCAGGCGGAGAAGGGCCGTTCCTGCGGCCATCACGAACCGACCTTGCGTTGCCAGATGCCGCCCCTTGCCTTGGCTCAGGCTACCGCTTCGCCTTTTCTTCCAGGGTTCTGAATTACTGCCGGATCTTCACTGAACTCTGCGAGACCTTTCTGGACAAAATCGTGTGCACCCCAGGGCACGGCTTGGGGGATCTGCGGACGATAGAGCTCCTCCTGATTTGCGCGGGCCACCCGCAGTACGAGGTAGGGGGCCCCGCCGTGCCTTTACTGGTGCCAGCACCAGCCTGCCTCCCGTCGGCGGCAGAGGCGTTCAAGGCTTCTCTGCCGACAGGTGGTAGAGATCTCCTTCAACTTCTGGTATCGCCTGGGGGAGCACCTTTACAAGACGGAGGATGCCGTCATCCACAGCATCTTCAAGGCCTACATCCAAAGGCTCCTGCACGCACTGGCACGGCACTGTCAGCTGGATCCGGACCACGTAAGCCCGCCGTCCTCCCGGTCCTCTTCCCCCCTCCCCACCCTGCGTGCCTCCAGGGACGTCTCCCCCCCTTCCTTCCTCAACACGCTCTCTCTCCCTCCCACCCCCTGCAATTGCTTCCGCCAGGAAGGGATCCCCGAGGAGACCGATGACTTCGGAGAGTTCCGGATGAGGGTGTCGGACCTCGTGAAGGACTTGATCTTCCTGGTTGGTTCTGTGGAATGTTTTGCTCAGGTGAGAGATGGGGGCGGGCAGGCAGGTGGGCTTGCATGGTGTGGGGGTTGCCAGGGAGGGGCTGCCTTCCTCCGGGCTGCAGGGCGCTCTGGGCGGGGATTTGGAGTGGGCTTCTCCGAGACCGGCCTCTGTTGCTGCCGGGGTTCGTGCGCGTCAGCATCGCCCTTTACTGCCCTGCTGCCCCAGACGAGCCCCTGTGCTGAGGCTGTCCTGCCCAGCCCTCCCCCCCCCCCGGTTCTGTGCCACATGGGCCTCTGTGAGGACAGGCATGCCCGATCCCTTCCTGGCCCCCGACGGCCCCCGCGCTCCACCCGTGATCTCGCCCCAGGCTCCGCCCGTCCCACCATTCAGTCTGGCTGACCGCAGCCTCTCCTCCGCAGCTCTACGCCACTCTGAAAGACGGCAACCCGCCCTGGGAAGTGACGGAAGCTGTCCTCTTCATCATGGCGTCGATAGCCAAGAGTGTGGAC